ATATAAGCGTTAAAAAAAATATTATATATAAGCATTAAAAAAAAAAAATATAAAAAAATAATAAAATTTTTATTTATATTTTAAAAAGCTTAAAATATTATATAAATAAAATTATTATTTTTTTAACTATAAATTAAATAACGCGCGCTATATAAACATTAAATATAAATAATATAAGCGCTATTTTAAAAACTAAAAATATAATAATAAATTTTAAAAAATATATTATTATAATTATAATAGCCGCCGCGTAAACTATTAGCATATTTATTAAGCATTATAGCTTTATAACTTTAAACTAAAATAATTTAAAAATATTTTTTTTAATAAATAAGTTTTACTTAAACGTTAGCTAAATTATTATTATATAATACTTTAAATATAATATTAATAAAAAAAGCAGCAGTAATAATATCTTTTTTTTATTATTATATAATAAAATATATTAGCAAAAAAATATATTAAAAACTATTTATATAAAAAGCATAGCAAAAAAAATATATATATTTATATATAAAGCTTATATAAATGCTTAGCAAGCTAAGGTTTTTATAAAAAAGTAGTATTTTTTAATAGCGCTATTATTAAGCATATAAATAAAGTTGCTAAACCAAGTAACGCATCTCCTACATGAGTGGACCACCCACTTAAGTGGACCACCCCGAATTTCTATATAAAATCTATATATTAAAACTTTAATAACTTCACCAATTTTATAGCTATTAACATGGAATTTGAAAATTTAAGCTATTAATATAATAAGGAATCTAAATGTATTTTTTATAATTTTACTACTATTTTCTTTCCAAGTAAAATAAAAATCGCGCTAAAATTTTAGCGTGGTTTTTAGTACAGCTATAAATAAAATACTAGTAAAATTATAAAAAATATATTTAGATTCCTTATTATATTAATAGCCTAAATTTTCAAATTGCATGTTAATAGTTATAAAATTGGTAAAGTTATTAAAGTTTTAATATATAGATTTTATATGGAAATTCGGGGTGGTCCACTTAAGTGTGTGGTCCACTCATGTGGGAAATGCGTTAATTTTATTAAGCAGTAAAAGCGTAAAGCATAAATAACTAGCAGCAAAAGTAAAAGCAGCAGCAAATATATTACTATTATTACTACTGCTAATAACTTTACTTATTTTACTATTAATATAATATTTTAAATAATAAAAAGCTTTATATATAATAATAATAATAATAATAATAATAATAATAATATTACTGCTGCTAATAATACTGCTATTACTGCTACTATTACTGCTGCTGCTTTATATAATTATTTTTATTAGTATAGCTTTAAAAATAATAGCGAAAAGATATATATATAACGTATATATATATATATATATATATATATATTTACATATAAAAAAAAAAAAAAAAAAATAAGCATAAAAATAGTTTATTTATAAATTATAAAAGCAAACCTATAAAAATGCTAAAAAAAGTTATATATAAAAAAAAAATTATATATAGCAAATATTTATAAAATGCTCGGAGAAGTTATATATAAAAGGCATTTATAAATTGCTTAAAAAAATTATATATAAAACGCATTTATAAACTAGCTTTTTTTTTTGCGCGCGCAAAAACATTTTATAGCATAATATATATATAATAAAAACAACAATTTAATATATTATTAAAGCAATTTTATTAGCTATAAGTTAACTATATAATATAGTTATTATTTTCTTGCGTTTATAGTTTTTTATATTTTTTAATAGTTATATAAAAACATATTATAATTAAAAAAAAAAAAAGCTAGTATTAAAATATTAGTGTTAACTATATATAAAGCTATTACTTTTAGTTATATATAAAGCTATTTATATAAAAGTTAAACTAACTTACCGGCCTAATTAATTAAGCAGTATACGTACGCAAAATTCTTTTTCTTAAAAAAAGTTCTTTATATAAAAGTTTTACCTTTTTATTATTTAACTAAATAAATTAATAAACATAGTTATTTATTTTACTTATTTGTTTATATATAATATTATACCCTTTAGCCACCTAATAATAATATTATATAACTTTTAGCTTTTTTATAAAAAGCTTATAATTAAATAGCTGCGCTTTTTATATTAAGCTATTATTATAAATAATTTTAGCTATTATAAAATTATTTAAATATATTATAATAAAAATAAATTTTATTTTTATATTTTTTAATATTATTTTTTTATATTATATAATTTTTAAATATTTATTATATAATAATTATAATAGCGCTTTATTAAAATATACTTTTTAAATTTACTTTATTAATATTTTTTTAATTATTATTATAACTTTTTTACTTTATATTTTTATGTTTTTTTTAAAAGCTTTAATAATTTATTTTTTATTGCTAGCTTTTTTAAGCACTACATTTTTAAATATAACTATTATATTATTACTTTATAGCTTTTTAGCTATTATTATATTATTTTTAACTAAAGTTATATTTATAATATATTTTTTATATAAGTAAACTATTTATTTAAGTAAATTATTTTAAAAACTTATATAAAATTTATATATAAAAACTTTAATAACTTTATTAATTTTATAGTTATAAATATATAATTTAAAGATTTTAACTATTAACTTAATAAGAAATTTAAATATATTTTTTATAATTTTACTATTATTTTATTTATAGCTATATTAAAAACCACGCTAAAATTTTAACGCGATTTATATTTTACTAAGAAAAAAAATAGTAGTAAAATTATAAAAAATATATTTAAATTCCTTATTATATTAATAGCTTAAATTTTTAAATTACATGTTAATAGCTATAAAATTAATAAAGTTATTAAAGTTTTAATATATAAATTTTATATAAGAATTTAAAGTGGTTTATTTAAATAAGTGGTCCACTTATATAAAAAATATATTAGCTTTAATAATATTTATTAATGTTTTTTTTTTAAATTATTTAATTAATTAGGTGCGGTAATATAATAGTTATATGTTTAGCTACCTTTAAGTATATACGCTTTTTTTTATACGTATTAAAAGGTTATTAGTTTAAATCTAGCTTATACTAGCAAAAGATTTAGTTTAAAAGCTAGGCTTTAGCTATTAGCAACCGCTATACTTTATTTTTTAAGACCTTTTTATTGCGTTTGCCTTTTGCAATAAAAATTAAGCTATATATAATAAACCTTAATAAAAACGCTTGTATGCCTGCTTAAAGCATTATTAATTAGCACGCTTTTAACTTTTTAAAAAAAAAAAAAAAAAAAACTATTGCTTTAACCTTTTATAATATTAAATAGTAAAAATATTTAACGTTACTAAAAGTAATAATTTTAGCAGCATTATTAAAAAATAAAATTAATATATATAAAGCGCTTATTAAGCTAGCTAATATATTTTTTATTTTAATAGCTTATAATAAAAATAACTAGTCGAAAGCTATAACTATAATAATTAAACAAGCTTATATAAAAATAAAATATAATTTTAAGCCGTAGATAATAAAACCGCGCAATATTAAAAAGCAAAAAAAATATAAATATATAATACCTAAAGGTTTTATTTAATAAAACTAACTATTAGTAAAAAATAGTTTTTTTTTAAGAAAATAAACATATAAAATAACCGCGTGGCGTTACCACTTTATAAATTAAATTTAAATTAAATTATTTAATTAATTATTTATTTTAACTAAAATTTTTTAATTATTTTTTATAAGCTTAGCTTTATTAATATAATTTAATTATATAGCTATTATTATTTACGCTTAGTTTTTAATTAAGTTTATTATTATTAAAATAAGCGCTTATTTAAAACCTTTTTATAAAGCTTTATTTAAGTTATAATATATAAAAAATCGGTTTTTTTTATTACTTTTTATTACTTTAATTATTTATTTTTTATTAATTAATTTTATAGTAATTATTACGCGTTTTTTTTTAATTTATTTTATGTAAATATTTTAAATTATATATAATAGCTACGTTTTTTTTACGTTTTTTTAAAAAAAAAAGCTTTTTTTTTATTTTATTATTTAATATTAGCTATAATATAAGTTTTAACACTTTATTTATAATATTTTTTAAACTTAAAAGTTTTTTAATAATATATTTTTTATAAAAACGCTATTAAGTTATAATTATATTATTAATAAGTTTTAATTGCGCGTTTATTACGTTTTTAATAAATAAATCGTTTATTATTATTAATAAAATTTTTATATTACTTATTATTTATAATATAAATATAACCTTTTTATTAAATATAGTTTTTTTTTTTTTTAAATTTAATAAATATAATTATTTAAAGCTATTTTATAAACTTATAAAGTTATAAATAAATTTATTAAAAAGCCTTTATAAATTCCCTTTTATTGTTTAATTTAATAATGTATAACAAATAAGAAAAGCATAAACAAACTCTAGGCATAGACAATTACCACTAATTAGCGCGTCTCCGGAGTGGTATCCAAGTAAAGGGATGCCGCCAGGATGGCCGGGTGGATATATTAAACCTCCAGACCTCCTACTATCCAACACTTGGACCCCTTTGATTAATACTAAATAGAGAATACCCATAAGCTAGCTACATAGAGCCGCAAAGAGCTCATGCAACATCTGTGAAGACGACTTGAGACTAAGGTAGGACTCATCTTTAAATAGGAGCTATGTACTAGGGAAGAACTGCCATCTAAGGGCGATGTACAATTCTACTGAGGCGAAGCTCAATTTTCATGTCTGCATACACTAACTACTTCGTCATAGTACTATCTATCCATTAGCAAAGAGTTTCACCATGATTATCTCGTGTAATTATGGGTGTTAAGAGATGGACCGATAACGTCTACCATCACGGCTCTTGGTGTTCCGGTTCGGTCGGCCATGCATTCACCTTCCGGTAGGTATTGAGTGGGACCCAACTACATAAGTGGGTACCTGGTGGGTAATGGATCTCTGTTGCTCTTCACCCCACGTCTTGAACTAAGTTAGTGCACAGCTCATCCAACAACAGCACCACGGCCTCGTGGCCCAATGGCAAGGCGTCTGACTACGATCGGATCGGGATCATCCCAATCCGGCGCAATCAGGAGATTCTCGGTTCGACCCCGGGCGAGGTCATCTTTTTCGTGTTTAAATCTAGTTTTTGGCTATATTCAGAGAAAGATTCTCATTGAAATGTTCCTCTACCTTTTAACAGCTGCAGGCGGGTGCTAAGGTCCCTATAGGTCTATCTCTATCATTCTTTCCTTTGTTTCCCTCTGATTTTTTTACTCCCCCCATTTTAATTGAGTTGGTAATTCTACAACAATAAAAAAATTCCTCGGGCTGACCTTTGTCGAGGTTGATAATCCTAGTTCAATTGTAGATATATTATTGATTGGAATTGGTTTATTGGCCTTCTTCTCCTTCATCTTTTGAGTGCTTGTAATAGCGAGAGAAAAATTATCATGTGGATTATTCATATTAACATGATGGGTTATTTCTGACCTATAAAGAAACCAATATTGTCTTTAGCCGCGGTCATTATCATCATAGATATATGATATGGTCTCACATGGTCAGTTGATGGGTGATGTTAGGCGTAGGTAGATAGGTAAGGGATCTCTAATTTGTTGTTTACATGACTATTAGAAGACTATGATTGCCGTGTTGCAGGAGGGAAAACGAAGCCAAATATGAGTATCCTGGATTATACTTAAGCACCGACAATGTGACACGCAGATTTGGGTGCATGCTCCCGGAGCTTCGTGTGTATATATTAGGCTATTATTAGATTAAATCGGTTTAGGGTATCCCTTGTTATTTTCTTGTCTTCCGTGCGTGCTTCACCAGGTTTTCTATGACACCTTCGAACGCCTCCCTGTCGCCTATTCTCTCGTCTGTGCGCTTCTTCCAAAACTCATGGACCTCGTTTGCCAAGACCTCCATTTCTTTTAGCTTCCTCACGTGTTGTTGAAGTTCAATATCCGTCATCCCTCTCAGGGCCTCTTCGGTCGTGGCGCATAGCTGTTTCGCCGCAACCAGATCAAACTCCGGGATTTGGTGAGGAACTTTCCGCTTTTTGGAGCCGGACCTTGGCTTTTCCCTACCTTGGGAGTCAACCGAGACAGACGATCCGTTGGCATCTGATTTCCGTAGTCGAGACACAGAACGCGAGTCCGTAGAAGTTCGCAGTGAACCGTTCGACGTGATTCGATGAAGAGATGGGAGGACTAGTTTTTTCTGCTTGGATGCAGGTAGGATCTCGTCGAGATCTACGGGCACTCCAAGCGATACTAAGAAAAGTCTCCTAATGCGAGAACGGATCCAGTCAGGAGGCTGAAGAGGAGGCGGTGCAGCTAACTGTGACCATAACGACGCGCTCCTCGGGTTAAAGAAAATGGTGTTGTCATTTGGAGGCGAGGGTAAGGGAGGAATATCGAGTACGGCAGGTGGGTATAATGCGTCCAAGTACGGGTCAGAGGCGGTCAAGATATCTTCAGAGTCTAGCCCGTCAAGATCTAATATTGGCTTTGAGCACATAGAAGTCAGCATGACTGTGATAAGGCTATCTAAGAAGGGTACTAGACACACAAAGGAAGGTATCGAGACTTGTGGCTGGTTTATCGGCGACTGAGCGGCTGTAGGCTCATCGGCCTGCTGAAAGCCATCATCAAAATCGCCGAAATCCGCATCTTCGCCGCCCTCTTCGAATTCGTCAAAGTCGTCACCAAAATCGTCATCAGAATCATTCGTCTCCTCATCGCGAAGACTCGTGACTGATTTGGCTGCCGAAGATTTTCTCCGTCCACGTAGGGAGGGGGATTTCAATACTTGATTCACAACCGTGTCATCTACCAAGGCACGGTCAATCGCAGTGTGGGTTTTAGAAGGACTTGGTTGCCGTACCGGTGTCTTGTGTGCTGGCGTCTAGTGGAGCAGGGATAAGGTTGACCTCGCCAGTTCCATCGGGCTTCCGAATGATGTCTGGCGTGGCGTCTGCTTGATGTAGGTGCTCATTGTAGTTGTGAGTCGAGGAGCCTGGTACGTCGTTGGTCTCATCGACGACCGTTTTGGGAATGGCAGCGTCTTTGAGTGCAACAGCATGAGTGGATGATATAGGCAGAGACTGTTCGTCATCTTGCACAATGGCTATCTCATCTGGCGAGGCATCCTCTGTTCTTTTGTTGTAGGCCTCTGTGCCGGGGACTTCCCCGTAGGAGGGCTCATCGTCTACTTTCTCGACTCGGGTCCTAGGTATGGGAGAAACAGCCCGTGCATTGTCTCTAGGGGACGACTGAGCATCGGAATAGTGCTCGTCTGAATCAGAGGATTCTATGCCGTGGTATGTTAGGTCGTGGGAACAGGTTTCAGACGAGGCAAAATGAGCTTACCCAATTCGTGCGCGCCGGGGTCCTCGGTCCTGGTTCTCTCGGGCGCCTCAAGACTAGAGGACGATCTGCGCTCTCGGGACATGTTGGGAGATAAAGCGGGCAGATCTCAAGCCCGGTATTGCACACTCGTGGTTCAAGAACCAACGGGTGCCCTGGATGAAGGATGGTGTTGGACTCGAAAGCTCAAGTGCTCAAGTGCTCAAACGCTGAAGGGTGGCACCATAAGATGGCTGAGGGGTAGAAGAAGTAGCGGACTCGGCTGGCAGCAGGGAGATGGGAGATAGGTAAGGTCGGTAGTTACCAGTAGTTCACTGAGGAGGTGATTAATGTGGTGGGAGGCGTTGAGGTAACTAGATGGACTCAGAAGACAGAGAGATGTAGAGCAGGGTTGAAAGAGACGAGACGATTGTCCCGGATCGAGGTTGAGTGAAGCTACTAGTTATACAGTACTAAGTAGAGACCCCCTAAATTAATAGGACTCTTAATTGCGCTGCTCCCTTGAAGCGGACAGGTGCTCAGGATCGGGATTGTGGTAAGAGGATCGGAGACGCCGCACACTGCACACTGCACCGCACACTGACTGGCATTGGACATTGAACCTGCTTGGAGGATGAAGCTGGAGCACCACTAGCAGTAAGCAGGTATATAGCCTACGGGTGTACTACGGGAGAGGCATGGTTAATGGATCTACCCTCAGGCAAGTGCACAGTCTAGACCGCTCGGATCCATTGGCAGACCCACAATGAAAAGGTGTTAAGGCGATCTCAGCCATCCCATACCACTGTAAGCTGTGCACGGATGGTGCAGTTTAGCGTTTTAGCGTACCTACAGCGGATGTACCAAATCGCGCAGGCATCTGGATATGGGTGTGGTCCAAGCTCTAAAATAATGTACCTACGTACTTACCCAACGTTGATTCAGCTGCCGGCCACCTGTTGCCGGCCACCCAGCTGCCCCGGGCAAACTGTGACGGCGCGCTAGTGTACCTCGAAGCTGCTGGTGAGCTTGTCGCGCCAAAAGTCAGTCGGGAAATTTACCTAGAAGGGTACCATTAATACCATTGACACTGCCTCCTACGTAAATTGTGAGGACAACAAACGGAGGTGTTGGTTAATCAAAAAAGAATCTTATTCTCTTTGGACCAACCACGAAACCTTGCTGTTAGCCACCGCAGGCTGACTTGTTCTGGGTGCTTGTCCCTGCCTCCATTCACCATTCGTGAAGCTCGCCGTCTCATCACCGCTTCGATAACATAACCCAGTCCAACTCTATCGATTCGATCTTCTCCCACCAACAACACTGCGGCCGGGGGATGAGTGCATAACCTCTTATAACAGGGCCGTTGATTGAAGAATTGTTGCATTTCACGTCAACGCACCTGACGCACCCGAGGCAACCCCGAGACACCCAAGACGCCCGACATAGTCGCCTCTGTGCGCCAGCCCACCGCATTCCAAGACCACGTAATGTCATTCTCCTTCGGCGCCTCGAGCTCTTCGGGGCAACCCAACAACAACAACAATACCACCACCACCACATCCAGCGCGCCAAGTAGTGGTGGATTGTTTGGCTCTTCAACAGCACCCGCATCGTCAAGTGGTCTTTTCGGCAGCCAATCGAAGCCCGCCGCTGCCTTCTCCTTCGGGAACACAGCTAGTGGAGGTAACAGCAGCACGACTGCTTCCCCAGGCGCTTCAAGTGGCAGCTTGTTTGCAACCGCGGGTGCCAAGCCGGGCGAACAGAAACCGCTCTTCGGAGCTACCAACAGCGTCACCCCTGGCTCCTCTACACCGTCCTTGAGCGGAGGTGCTGGTGCTGGTACTGGTGGTAGTATTTTTGGAGCCCCGTCGTCGCAGGCACCCTCGAGCACCAGTCTATTCGGAAGCACGCCAGCCACAACATCGGCGGGAACAGGCACCAGTTTGTTTGGTAACACGTCTTCAACTCTGAATGCCGCCGCCACTACGAGTACGACACCTACCACGACAGCCCCTGCCGGCGGACTCTTCGGGCAGGCGAATACTGCAACTAATCAAGGAACCTCTACCAACAAACCGGGTGGGCTGTTCGGATCAGGCAGCGCTCCCACCGGGGGCTCTCTTTTTGGTGGCGCAAGTTCTAACACTGCGCCAGCTAATCAGGTAACACCCGCAAAGCCTTTGTTCTCCCTCAATTCAACCACGCCGGCTGGCGCACCTCCGGCAAACACTGCTCAGCCGTCTGGGGGGACAGGCATTTTTGCGAACGCCGCTCAGGCTGGCTCATCATCTTCTCTGTTCCCGTCTACCCAGCAGAGTGATAAAAAAGAGACTAGCTTGTTTGCCAATAACGCGGGCAGCTCGCAGCCAAAGCCAGCCGGTTCGCTGTTTCCCTCTACTAGCCAATCTCAGAAATCAGGCCCATCTCTCTTTCCCACCACAAAGCCTGCCGAACCTTCACCTACGTTGGGTACAAAGCCAGCGGCCTCAGCAAATACGGGCACTATGGGTAGCACAGGTGGTCTATCGATGTTTGGGTCGCAAGCGCCATCTAAGCCTGCTGAGACAGCCCCATCAACGAAACCAGCTTCTTTGTTTGGCACCGCCGCTACTACAACAACAGCACCTGGGACCTCTTCACTCCTTAGCCCTACCAATGCAGCTTCAACGCCCAGTACTTTGGTATCCGCCCCCTCAACAACGCAAGCCGGTTCAGTTTTCGGAAGCCTAAACAAGTCGACGACTGGCACAACCACCGAGCCTCCAA